GCAGCAGTGAGGGTCTCTCCCCGATCCTGACGGGCCAAGGGGGTTATAGTGAACCCTGCAGCCCCTTCTGAGTGTGGCTGGGGCTATCAAAGCATCCCGAGGGGTTGGGTGGCCCAGCCCCCAAAGGCTCCTGTGGGACCCCTCTGCCAATAGGTGCCCCACACAGGGAGGCTGGTCCTGGTGTGAGGCCACTGGCCTGGGACCTAAAAAATCTGGGACCAATTCCCAGCTCAGCCCAGGATCCGATTCTGCCCGTGTTTGTCTGAAGTGAACACTCTCTGGGGCAGGGTGTGTGGGTCAGTGCAAGGCGTGGAAGAATGGGATCCCTGGTATCGGTTAGTTTCTGTGCAGCAGCTGATACAATGTGGGCACCTGGATCTGGGTCTAGGTGCCACCCCAATGCAAATACCAGCCATGTGTTAAAGGTGGGATTTTCCAACACACCCATCCCCCTGGATGGAGACTTCAGAGCTGATCACAAAACGTTTTTTAGTTTTCCATGGGAAACCCTCCCAAAGTAGTACTTTTACAGTGACCAAACCCAGAAATTTTTCACCTAAATATTACCCACAACTGGGGGGAAAGAATCAGTTTCACCACAATAATTCAGACAGGTTCGAGACAAGGCTTTCTGAGAAAAAATGCCTTTATTAAAAACCACAGTTTTCCATTGGACCAAATGTTTGGTGGGTCAGTCTTGAAGGAGCCCTGGCCAGTCACTGTGGGATAATGGGAGAAGGAGAGGCATCCACAAGGGACCTGTCAGGGCCCTTCTGGGGGCTGCCTGGCCTAATCTGGGGTGACTTTGGCCCCCAATGCCGTTGACTCAAGGCAGTGCGATTACTGACCCACTCCCAGTGAGTTTGGTACTGATTCTCCACCCACCCAGGTCAGAGCTTTAGATTTACCCTCTGGCCCCATGGGGTGTCCAGTGTGGGGGAAAACTGAGCAGGGGGCAGGGTTAGAGGCACAGGGATTCCCCCAGGGAGAGCATCACAGGGGGTGGGTTGAGGCTGTGGGGACTCCCCTTCGGGATGGAGAGCTCGGTCCCAGCCCAGCCAGGGAGACGATGGGAGTTTTTATATGAACCTGGTCTCCCCCCAGGTAAGATCATTGGGGGACATGAAGCCCAGCCCCATTCCAGATCCTACATGGCCTATCTGGAAATACAAGATGGACAGGTTAAAAGAATGTGGAGGGTTCCTGGTGAAGAAAAACTTCGTACTGACGGCCGCTCACTGCAATGGAAAGTAAGCGCCTCTGTGCTGGGGATGTCGGGACAGGTCGGGCGTTAGCAGGTGATAGGGGAGCCGGGTGCTCTGGTGCGGTGGTAGGTTGCAGGGAAGGAGCAGTTAGTAGGACAGGCTGGGAGAGCAAAGCCCAGGGGTCTGATCTGCTCAGGGGGCGTCGGCGTGTCTCTAGGGCAGTGGTCTCCAAAGTGGGGTGCACGCACCCCAGGGGCTGCGCCAGAGGATCCCAGGGGGTGCGCGGCAGGAGGAGCGTCGCCGAACGGCACTCTGCCGTTTTTTTTCTTTGACGGGAACTCTGCATGCCTGCTGCAGGACTTCCCGTCTTCTTTCTTCGGCAGCATTCCTGCGGTAGGTCTTCCCCTCCTCTTTCGGCGGCACCCTGGGGTGCGCGATCCAAAAACTTTGGAGACCACTGCTCTAGGGGTCTTTGGGGGTTGGACTAGATGACCTCCTGAGGTCCCTTCCAACCCTGATATTCTATATTCTATGAAACCATGGTCCAGATCCAGCGCTGGGTAAATCAGTGGAGCTAAGGCCCATTGACACCAGCTGGGATCTGTCCCATTGCCCAGCTCAGGGCAGGGAGGAGCTCGCAGCGCCAGGACACCCATACAAGACTGTGTTCTCGGGGCAGCTCCTGCTTGAAGCCCGCTTAAGGCCAACCACCTTTA